ACCTTACATGTGCATATGATGCTGGCAAGAATGGTACATGCGTTCAAGTGGGTCCCGGTTCCCGGAGCTCCACCCGACCCGACTGAGACCTTTGCATTTACGGTCATTATGAAGAATCCTCTCAAGGCTGCGTTGTTGGACAGGTCCAATTTATAAAGGAGCTATTAGTTTGGTCTTTGTTTAATTTTGCTATATTTATGTATACTATATACAATTATCGTCCCAAATGGAGTTTAAACTTTAATTAGCCGTCGATTCCTATTGTATTTCCCAAAAATTGCATAAATCTTTCGCGTCCCCGTTTAATAAAACCTTGTTCTACATCTACTTTTATCTTTTAATATAGTGTAAGTTTTAATTTTATTAACTTTTTTTTTTGAGAACAGGATTTAATTTTGTTAACTTTATACCATCAATTAAATTAGTTTACTTCCTATTATTGTAAAGATTTTTGGTTAGTTATGAGCGCATTTATGGTGCAACCTTTTTTTTCCACGCCTTTTAATTACAGATTTCGACATTATATGGTTAAATTTGAGCACTTTCTTATTTGTCTTATTCTATGACATAAGTTTTTTTTCTTCTTCATTTTATGATATATTTCTTTGACTTGATTGGAGTATTTTATTAGTTAACTTTTTCTATAGTTAGTTCACGAATAATTTTGATAGAAAAGTAACTCTTTTTTTTTTATCTAATTAAAACTTAATATTTTGGATGCAATTGACAATTTAGGGCTAAAATCAACTAACCGACCCAATGGGTAAACATACAAATTGATCATATATATTTATTAGCTCTAGTATAATAAGAGAGCTTATGTAGATCAATTCGGGTCCCACCTCTGTGGTTCTACTTTTGAGCTTTGAATTATGACGGTCAAGTGTCAACAATAATTTTAGTTGGGTCCAATAACTTTATTATTTAACCAACTAGAAATATAAAGTTACGAATCATGTGCTGTAAGTTGGCTACCAACAAACCCTTCATCTAAACTTTAAGTTGTAGCCCATTTTACTGCATGGTAGTTTCCTAGTCATTTTGGATTCTATTCCTTATCTTATGTAAGCTTAAAATTAAAATGCCAGCTGATATTTAGGCGCATAGAAGAATGAACTAGCCAGAGATGTACACGATTGAGTTGGATTGAGTTGATTTGCAGACATTTTATGGACCAATATGAAAATTTTGGTTCATCTATTCTCTTATTCGAAGGAACTAATGTGTTTATATATTCGGTTGGGTCATTGAGTTGTGAAAAAAATACATGGCATGAGACAGGAAGATAGAGATTACAAATTCAAAATTAAACAAACTTCATCTACCGTTCCAAATTTGGAAAATCGTATTTCCATTTAAAAACCAGGGTGAATTGGATGAAAGGTTTTTTAAAACAACCGGAAACTAAATTAAAGAATTTGTAAATAACTGTATTTAAAATTTGAAGGGCTTGGTCTACCCTTTCAAATCAGTCATAAAAGAAATGAGATAAAATTTAGGTGTTTATCCATAAGTATACACCTTTTCATTTACCACCATTAAAAATTGACAACTATTTATTTTATTTTCTCTCTTTTTTCTTTTATACTCTCATCTCTTGTCAGTTTTTGAATGACGGTAAGTATGAGATATTTAATAAGCACAAAAGTTTTATCTTAAAAAATAGACTTTCCTATTAGCTTCTTTAGGTGAGTATAGCAAAGTCACACTTTTTATTTTTTATTTCTTAGATATAGCTCCTGACGAAGGCATTTGATATGACTTCTCCATAACTCTACATAAAGGAACCATGCATACTTGAAGAAGGAAGAGAGCGTTGGTAAGGATTTCAAGATGTACATCTTCATTGTCAAGAATAGTGAAATATATATATATATATATATATATA